TCTCCGGGAACTGGTGACTACCCTCTGCTTTGCTTGTGGAGTTGGCATCTTTAATCGGCCTCAGCTCGTCGGTTTCAGCTAGCAGCATCTTCTCCCGAATGCTTCCGTCCACCGCCAGGCTTCTTACAGCACAGCAGAAAATCAGCAGTGAAAGTCCGCGCCACATTTCTGCACAGCAGCTAAGGATAAGAAGGACTCTGTATACAAACTAGTCTTTATCAGGTAGTTGTAGCCAAAAATTGCGGAGCAAGTACGAATGAATAAACACCCACGCATCAAACGGTGCAGTAAATTACTTCACTAGAAAGTAGGCTTATTGTCCTTCCGAGCGGGTAAAAACGAGTCCATAAAACGGTTTAGCTTGAAAAAAAAAGGACTCAAACTTAAAAAAGAAAGAAAGATCTCGTGTACTTGTTATTTTTTTATGAAGACTCGTATTAAAATAATTGTTGTAAAAGAAACAAATTATAACTTAAAAGCTAAAATAATAATAATAATTTTTTTTTAAAAAAAGGTTGCTTTAACTCGGGTCAGTGTGACGTGTCGCCGGTGAGCTGGGTGGCACCGACGGACCTCAACACCGGCCCCGATCCGAACTGGACTAACTGCGCTCGAGCCTGAGCCTGAAGTGGGAGTGGGACAGATGGGCGGGGAGGGAGAGGGGAGAGAGAGAGAGCAGAATGGCTCCAGGTTGAACACTTAACATTACACACAGCTTACTGCAGCTTGCCAGCCAATCAAAGTAGCCTAACTGGGCACTGCAAAGGTCCCGAGCGGTTTATTATGTCACAACTGTTTTTGCTTTACCAGTAAACCTCATGGTATGTTCACGTTTAATAAGGTTCACATTAAAACCGATGTCAAACAATTTTCTTACTATTAATGTCTCGAAATATACCACAAGGTATTTAGTTTAACCAGAATATCTGAAAACTGATCCTGCTTATTGTAACAAAAACTATTAGAAATAGACTTTTTTCAAATTATATTTTAATATTTATATAAAAATACGTCATATCGTATATGAAAAAATATACAAACAAGTTAAACTATTGTATCATTCCTCACTCTTTGTGTCTTTCATAAACACATGGCCATTAGAATGTCATCAAATATACACCCATCTGTTCACTTCCGCTTATCCATTTCAGGGTTGTGAGTTGGATTCACGAAAATGATGTGCATGATGAAAAGGCACTTTCGCTGTAGTAGGGAATTGTGCTTTTTGTGATTGTCTTCCATGTACATGCTGTTCAATGATGTTCATATTAAGTATGGACAAAAATTTAGGTCAGTGTTTGAAAAATCAGAATCAGAATCAGAATCCTTTATTGATCCATGGGGGAAATTATTTTTTTGTTACAGTGCTCCATTATAAACCAACATTAACAAGACAGACAATAAGCTAACTAAGAATAGTACAATATATATATATATATATACAGTGTTGGGGAGTAACGGAATACATGTACCGCCGTTACGTATTTAAAATACAAAATATGAGTAACTGTATTCCGTTACAGTTAC